TCAAATGGTCATTGATATCAAAGTGATAAGTTGACGTTCAAATATTCGTATATTCTTAATATTCGAACTTAAAATTACTGGCTTTTACAAAGTCCGGATAAATTTAATAATAAGTTAATGTTTTAGATTGATTATCTTTTCACAAAGAATAGTTTTTGATACTGTACTTATATCTTTCAAATAACGTTTTTATATCTTTCAAATAAAATTTCAGACTCTATTTTCAAAGAGGTTTCTATTTTAAATTACCAAAAAAGTGGGTTACCTTTTTCATTCATCAGTTTCTTATGTTCATTTATTCATGAATTTCTTTTACTAAAACACAATTCAAAAATATTTGCCAGGTCAAAAAAATTAAAAGATAGCACATTATTTAATTAACAACAGGCACATAGCCTTTACATTTACATTTAAAATGTAATATATAAATAAAAGCAGTTCTCGATACAAACATTTAGGGTAGTATGGGATGACTAATTGCCGATCGATACGCATTTTATGTCCATGGTGATGGATTGAAAATACAGAATACAGAGTGTGACCACCCCTATTCATCTCGTGGGTGTCGTAAGAGCCGACTAAGAAATCAAATTACGCAGGAAAAACGCACTGCAAAGAGAAGGAAAACTTGAAACAAATACTAGTCTAGCCAGCATGGTATAGTAGACCAAAACCTCCTTTCTAAGGAGAAGCATTTGTTCAGCTGTCGACTATTAAAGTGATGTCACTGTTAAAGTGACTGTTGATGTGATGTAATGTGACGCACTTTATCTGCCTGTTATACTCATATGGGAAATGAAAACAACTTTACGGTTTTAATACGATTTATTTGTTGACTAGAAATCCTTAATTACACCAAATACCAGCTTTGGCTTTATCCCTTCAAGGGCGCCTCTAACAAAGCCGCCAAAAACATTAAGATCATAGAAAATATTATTTACAATAATGGATGAGAACTAACACGAAATCTCTTAGCTATTATATAGAAGCTATTTTAATTACATAGTTTTATTTAAGCTCTTATATCGCATGGAGGTCAACTGCGACAGCCAAAATGATTAATACAAATACAGCATTTTGGTAAATTATTATATCTACTTCTGAAATCGTTTTAGTCACAGAAAATAAATGCTAGGTCAGTTTTTTTACGTGGACTCCACAAAATACCCAATTTGATGAAAATATTGAGAACATTCACTTTTGAGTTAGTGTAGTTTTCTATTACGTTTGTAAAGATATTTTTTTATGTAGTAGCTGTCTTTTAATAAAGTAATTACTATTTTAGGACAGACAATGTTCGGAATATACTTTATTTCACTGTATTTCACTAAGTTAAATCAACATATAACTAAAGCGACATCGATAGCTAAACTAAAAAATATTCCTCCCCTAATGATTTTGTTGTCTTTTTGAACCTGTTTTCTTTGTTTTTTTTATTAATCAGAAGTATTTCTTTATTATTATTCACATTTGGAATAAGATTGTTAACTTTTACAATGACTTTAATTTGTCATCGACATTGTTACGATTAATTGGGAAAATACTATTGTCGATATACAGTTTTACAACCTACCTACCAATAAGTTTTATAAAAAGAACTCTTGAGAACCAAACACAGTTCAAATACATAATATCTGTTTTCGTCACTTTAATATATTCATACTTAGATACTATTAATTTTGGTAGTATCATACTCCTACACCGTAATTTAGTCATCAAAGGAATCCTAAACTTAATATAGTTTTAATATACATAACAAATAATAATATATATTCATATGTTATACATTATATGTACATATTGAAGCGTTTAGTATACTAGTTTCATTTTAATATTATTGCATTTAACACTAATAAATTAGTATAGATATAATTAAAGTTATTTACAATCAAACATTCATTTTTATTAAGGTAACTAAGACATTTAATATTTGCATATTTCAGTGAGTTAATATTGAAAATTCGTTATTTTGATAGTTATCTTAAAGGTAGATATACAATATCTTACGTATAATAATATATGTAAATAATATAATTTCGTCAACGTAACTATTTTTTTTTCTACAATCCAAGTTCAGGAGAATAAAATGGTATTAGTATTAAATACCAATTACTAAATTTATTTAAGTTTTTTAAAAACCTAATATAGATACTTTCCAAAGATGTCGATCATTATTATTTCCTTCCCCTAATCGAAATCTAAATAGACACAGTATAGAAAACTACAGTAATACAACAACAATAGTCTAAAATACATCTGATTTAATCAACAAAAATTATACTTACTATAATGATATACACAAAACTATTTACACTATATTTAATAAGTGATATGTTCTACAATAATACTGTTATTGATTTCTATACAATTATAATTAATAAAGTTCATTAGCGCTTTTCCCCATTTGTATAGTATTACTATATGCATATATTTGGTGCTTAAATATTTTTCAGTGAAAGGGGAAATATTAGAATCAGCTTAGGTACACATTTGTAGACATTTTTTTTCTATACGTCACACACTTGATGAAATGTAACATGATAGATCGAATTAGATTATTATGTAGTTAGCAAGATACTTTTGTGGGACTACAAGATATAGACTGATAATAACTTATCGGTTTTTATTTTTCTATACTTGTATAAATAATGCATGTACTATTAAACGTGAGTAGAAAATAATCAATTTTATATGTACATCCAAAATAATCTGCCACCACTAGTTGCCTTTTTTCTGTGTTGGGTTTGTGACTATTCTCAGATATACTTTTACAGATAAAGATAGTGAATCTTATAGATATAAGTTGAAAAGATAAAGGTAAATAGATAATAATACAAATTATTTCAAGTCTTAACAATTTTTGAAAACTGTAGACATTTCTGTAACTCAATCAACTCAATAAACATTATTGTAACGTAATGGAACAAAATAGTGTATTATTGAGCTGTTAACTTATATATTTAATATTTTACTGTTATAAAACTCAAGATGACTCCACATCTTATTGTAATAGATTGTCGTTTATCTTATCATTTAGGTACGAGTAGATACCAAACTCAATATAGTTCCTTGAAGGTTTTCGATAATTTCGTGTAAAATCCAAAAAGCCATATCGTATTGTACTATGAGTCGGTGGATGAAGCAATGCATATCAATCAGGTGTTCTATTATCGTCGAAGTGGTTATACTACCCGTGAGGTGAAAAGTGTGTTGCTATGAAAGCCAACGGAACAAAACTTTTTTCTAAAACGTGACCTTAATATAGTGGTTTTGAGAACTTTTTTAAACATTGTTAGTTTGAATCTCCTCTATTATAACGTGTAGATTATATGAAACATGTATAAAGATTGATATACTCATATTAGTCAATTCAAGTGACTTTCAGATTCTAAGTAAAATATTGTAAGTTTTTAAAGTTAGGCCTAAATTGATTATTTCGTACCTCACTTCAAGAAATAAATATTATCCGCTTACTGGTTCAATGACAATTAAAGAAATCTTCGATGAGTATAGCCGAGAGACAGAGATGAAAGTCAAAACCGATGAATTTAATGCTATAAGGGAAGCTGATTTATCTCAAGCCAAGTCAGAATTCACATCAGATTTTAACGTACCTAAATGATAAAATAAGCCTTGCTAGCTATGTCCTTGTATCCTTCGAGTTGGAAAATTATGTAACCCTGATAACAAGAACAAACTCGCGGTAAAGCCTGACTTGTTACTTACTCACACAAATAAGGGGATTCTAAGTAGCATTGACACGTCTAATAAAAATAAATGGTTTAATGAGATTTACTCTTTGTATGTTCAAAGAGCAAATTAAATTGCATATCAGATACAAATTAACTATGTTAATTCAAGAATTATTTTCAAACATGAAAACATTTTCAGTAAGTCTTAAAACATAGTATTATATTATCTTGATTGATATGTTTCAGACATTAATTCTATGAAGCTAATTGGATGGTAGATCTTTTCTTAGCGTAAATTGTAATATAAGCAAACAAATTATATTTATTAGATACTTAGCTCTTAGCTAATTGATACATAGCTCTTTTTTAAACATGCATTAAAAGTCAAAGAATTTACAGATCGCCATAGTAAGTAAATGGAAATTAGATGTTAGTGTAGTTTGGATTCATAAAATCGCATTCGTATTTACCGATACTGTTATAACTACTACCTATTTTTATAACATTATAAATTTATAGCTTTTAACAATATTTACAAAGATTTTATTACTATATTATTTTATTTACAGAAGTATCACAGGAATTTTAAGGTAATAAATGTGGACATAATTAAAACACTGTTTTAAGTGCGAGCAAGGAATGTAATTCAACTTGGGATTGGGACTTTTTTTTAAATATTTCGCTTAAAAGGTACTTGATAGATAATTTAACTTTAATCTACTTTCCCTGAGTATCGAGATTTTTTGTTCTATAGACAATACGGGATTTAATAATACCAAAAATAAATTATTATTCTTTCCTTCGACTAATAGGTAATGCTTTTATTTGAAGACTGAAACAACTTTTTACCTATTTTCTTTTTTAATCCAGGTTTTCATTCTTAATTTCCGTTAGTATACATTTTCTTAAACTAATTTAAAATTCTTATTAATCTCACAATGATATGAAAAATTTGAACTTAGTTATATGGAATGTTTATAATAATTTCTATGACACGTAATGATCTAACTTCTTGGCATCAAGAACAAAAGTTAAAAGTACTTATCAAGTTATACTTAAATGTCGATTACGCTGTATTTAAATACCTATGTTTACTCTTACATCACAAACACACAAAATACACCGTGTTGTCATTTTAAAAGTTTAACTTTCAACTTGACAGCAAAATTTAAATGTCATTAATTTACAGTGACTTACTGTATTTTGTATGTGCTGTGGTTACAGCTGCTGAATGCCATGTCAGTGGACGGGTGTTCAAACCACGTCACTTTTATCAAGCAGCCCATTATTGCTGTTACCGTCTTCTTGTCAAATGTGATATTCCCTCAAGGGCCGAACAGACTCGGCCGATGACCTTGGTGTTGGATCAACTCCGGAAAGACCCAAGGAGCCGCTTCGACGCACGACGAGAGTTTTAGTTCCATAATCTGTGACGAAGTTGTCATTTCGTATAGGAGTGTTGGCTCTTACGCTTTGGTAACCGCAGCATAGAGGATACCTTGATGTAAGAATCTTCTTAAAAGCCTCCCTGAATTCAGTGTTGAAAATTGAGTAAATTATAGGATTGAACGCGGAGTTGGAATATCCGAGCCATGTCAGGATTTTGAAAGCCAGATCTGCAACAAAATATAAGGATATATTTCTTGAATTTACATACATAAGTAATGATCAGGGCGACTGCATGGTATGTCATCGATTCTCACTCTGTAGAGCACAAACCTAAATGATAAGCTATAGCTCCAAATTTAAAGTAGAGTAGAGAAAACAGCTTAGTTTTTTCTTACAATATGTATTGAACACCAAGAGGCATAGATTTAGTTATAAATAGTTAACTAGATTTAGATTTTTGGTTTAACGTGTTAAATATCTCTACCTACTAACTACGTAACTATGTTTTTTATGCTTATTATCTCTGCAAGGATATGATTGACTGATTGTGTACACAAAGATCCATGTATTGGAAAATGCATAGTATGTAGAAAAGTCGAAACTCATGGGTCACCATAACCTTAAAATATGGAACTGTATTTTTTCCTAATTACAGTTCCATATATTGAGTGAAATATAAATAACGATACCGAACCTACTCAAGTTGCTACAGTTTGAAAACCGCTAACAATAGCTAGCCTGCACGAAACAAAATTCTTTGAACATTATGTATCGTGTTTCGAATAGAAATTATTTCTAGTTACTTATAATTGAAAAAATACCAACACTTGAATATACACTAAAAGTTTAAATAGGATTTTATTTCCATTTGTTACAAGTTAGTGGTGGCTTCAATTCAATTTGAACGTTTAATAGACTTTCTGATGAAATCGAGGTTTACTCAGTTTACGCGGATGGATTAATTTAAAATGTACAAAGAACATGTGATACGCGTTCTCTATTAAATTAATTAAATGTGAGTTGAATTACCCTTGTCACTTAAGCTGCGGCTTGCCGTGGTGACTTTATAAATGGGACATATACATATATTATTCATGCACAAATTGTTTAAATTAATCAATTAAATGAAAAGGGTTTTAAAACTGGAAATCCCACGTAAATATTGTAACGAGTGTCGGGTTTATTCTGACAAAGATTTTTGAACTCATTTGAAGTTCTATTTCATATTTCTTGATATCTAATCTCTGTTAACTTTGTATATTATTTTCCTCTTCGAGGTCTGTTATATATGTATATGGTACAAACTTACGTTACTTAACGCGATTACGTAAAAGGTTTCACGTTCCTTAACAAGCCACGAGCTGACAGGCAAGTCATTGGGATCACAGCCAGTGCAACTTGATTGAAACGTCATGAATTTTCAAGGCATTTTAAATCTATGAGGTTTATGATCACGCGAATTTCCATTCGTATGCCCAATTAAATTATTTGCCATGGAATTTGTATAAACTAAATAGTCGAACATATATACAAGTCATCGTTGCTGTTTTTATTTATTGTCGGTTGTGGTGTGGTGGTTTATGGCGTAGGGGGCATACAAGCAGACTGGTCACCTGATGGTAAGTGACTACCGCTGGTCATGGATACCAGCAGCACAAGAGTCATAAGTGCGTTGCCGCCTTTTGGGTCATTGCTACCATTGAGGAAGAGAGGACTCGACTCATCACTAACTTAACTTACTCAGTTGAAAACAACGTCAGAATTACTTAACAACGATTTCCTGTAAGGCCGTTGTACCACTCCGGTCGAGCCAGCCCATATGCCAAAATTGGCTTTCTCACGGTAAAATCAACATTATACCATATAAATACTTATTTGTTCAATCAAACCATTCTTCTTTAAGATTTAAGCCGTTTTTACCTTTTGCACTTACGTCAGCTCTTACTACACACACGGTATGAATACGGGTGGTGACACTCCGTATTCTTAATCCGTCACTACACGGACTACATACCGTGCACCAGTAAAAATGTTTCTGAGTTTAAGATAGATAAACATACTTTTTCAAAAAACAAAAAAAAACATATTTAAAAAAATTAAAATTATTCTAAAGCTATAAATCAGTTTGATTCTAGACAACAATAATAAACAAAGATAATGGTTTTCCACGAAAATAAAGTATCAATTATTGACTACTTTGATAATACGCCTGAAAAAAAAAATATGGTGCGTATATTAAATGTTACTGCATCTCCTTTTACTTAAACCTACAAAGATAGACAACGATGCTTGTTTGAAATTTTAGATTTCATCAGGTAATGAGAAGCACTCTAGAGCTTTTGATGAACTGCTTCGTAATCCTTTATGAAAAGGCACTGAAAATTAAAGCCGAAGTTAAGCTTTTGTATTCGTTAATTTAACAATAACTGATCACTCAAGGGAATTGTAAGTACGCATTTAATGTTTTTTCTTGTAATTTCTTTCACGTTACATCTTTCATAAATAATTAAATTAATAATCTATTTTATAAAAATAAAATTTCAATTAAATTTCTTCAAAGAATATGCGGCTAAGTAAAATCATTTCGTTTCAACGAATTAACATAACAATTCAATGAAAAAATGCGAGAGCTTTTATTGTCCTGTGGTATTCAAAATTAAATCTTTTCAGAAGTTTATTAAATCTTATTATAGCTTTTTATTTAATAATACAAGTGAGTTTTATAAAAGTAGTCTTGAGGTAATGAAATTATTTATTAATGTAAGATTTAAACAGTACATGATTCCGATGATTTTAACATATATCAATCAGTCAATTAGTGGATTTTCCAACACGACACTTTACTTATAGGCTAAGGTTTGTAGTTTTTAATTCTGTTGTATTTTTTTTTATTTGCTACCTCAGAGCTCCGGCACTTATGAATCGATTTGCATATTTTTTTCAATACAGGACAATAATTACTTTTGACATTATTTAAAAACATAAATAAACAGAACACTTACCCGGTATACAAGTTTTACAAAACGCGGCAACGATGTTGACACAGAAGAAAGGCACCCAGCACAGAAGGAACACTCCCATAATGATACCCACGGTGACGGCCGCCTTGTGATCAGATACGTGGTATGGAGACGAGTGTACATGCGTATGCACGCGAGTCCGGACTGATTTCGTCCGGTTGTCTGGCATTTGCACCGTCCGAGTTACTGCCCGGATGGATTTCACATGTTTCTGGGCGTAGCAGTACAGTCTGTAAAGAATGTAATGCTTAAAAGGTGTTACTATATAATCTTTTAATTTAAGCGAGTAAGACCACGCGGTTTCGTGTAAGACAATCAACATCGTTTTCATACTATGGCCCACATTTTTTCATTCAATTTATACGTCTAGTGCATTTTCTTGTTTTTTTAAAAAGTACTCAAACTCAAGGACTATCGGTTGAATAGTTAAGTCGTGACAGACTAACAAACATTTGTACTTTCATATTCTTCTTTGTGCGATGACGAGATCATTTGTTCTGTATCTGGTTGTATTTTGTTTTATTGTTTTTAATATGTATGTATGTATTTAGGTACATTTTATAAATGAGAAAGTAAGGACATGTGGGATGCAGAAAATGAAGAAACGTCGAATGAGATAGGTGCAGTTTACAATGATCCATTGCTTTTATGTACATTTATTTTATTTATAATATTATATATATACATTATTTATATTTTTATTACATTTTGATAAACATGCAAGTAGTTATATGTATCAAAATATACAGGTCGTGGAAAGCAACGGTCTTGCCACAATTATCCATTATATAAGGATTAATCAACACTTAACTAAATGGAATAGTAGACCGCGATAATTAAACCGAGGTGAGACGTGAGGGTTTAAGCAATTTAAATTATAATTTAATACCTCTATAATCTTCATAAAATGATCAATGGAAAACCTCACACACTATAGTATATAAAGTTCACCATTGATCATTTTAATTATTGATTTAATTTAATGATTAAATAAACTAGTAGTAAAAAAACAGGTTGAAATAAAAGCTTCCATACATACATACATATATATACAGTGAGATGGTGCTGGGTAGTGGTGCTGTACATTTTGTGCAATGGGATGTACGGCTAGTCAATTCGCGTTAAGAAAATAGTGACGCATCGATCAAGCCACACCCCCTGACCAATCAGATTCCAAGAACTTTTCATTTCGTACAAAAGCTTGGAACCTATTGGTCAAAAGCAAGTTTCAATTTTTCAGTACAAATCGGCAATTTCATACTTTAACTCCTAATATAATTAAAGAAAGTTAAATACGAGCTCTTTCTAAAAAGTATGTATACTATAAGATGGCAAGCTCTGTTTTCAAAATGACAAGTGACCGCGATTACCAACTGTCACCTCTAGTACTGTCAAACTTATTGTTAATATTGTCTTGCGCTAGAGCAACGATCACTATTGCTCGAGACTGCTTAGTGAACAGGCGCATCACTTCCTATCGGTAAAACTAAGCGTTCTTTTATAATCTAATTTTCCAATAACCAAGAAAACCAATAAATGTGTTTGTGAAATTAAGTTTCAATAATTAAATCAATAGTTTTTAAATCAAAAGTTCTTGTGCTTGTAATGGATCAATAGCAAGAACTAAGGAGTTTTATATTGTTGTTGTACGTAACTAAATAAAATCCATTAAAGGAGATGTGAAAGGAGAATGTCATGTAAATAATAATCATATCAAAGATGACTCTTTTGTGTTATAGAATTTATCATTTTTATTTAACACGCACACGCGTACGCACACTCACTTTGAAACACACAGAGCTATTACTATACTAATACCTTTTTACTAATACAATCAACCAACATACTAATAGCGGACTGGTACGGTAACTCCTTAGCACGGGTTGCTCAGTAACTTACCTAGGAATGCAGTACTCAACCTAAAGATTTACCTCTCGTATTGTGAAATAGACGTCAATTGTACTGAATACGTGTAAAACCACAATAATGTTGAAAAAATATTATTGATATTATTCGATAGAGTAGTAACTTTTCAAATACCATGGCATTTTGTGTGGAGTGAGACCATGTGTATTGTGATAGGGTTTGTATGTAATCATTGTTTGTCTAATCGATTTATGTCATGTTTGATAGAAAGAGAAGAAAAAACATTAACTTACCTGCAGTATATACTTATCATCACAATACAAGGAAGTATAAAAGAAATGCAACTGGAGACTACTGCGTACGTCGGCGTGAGAACCAGGGCGCAAGTTGGGTGCCTCGGTGGTTTCTGTGTTGCTAGCGCCTCTTCATCAGGCCTGTGTAGACCAAGAGAGATTGGTAAAAAGCTCACTAGACCAGCTAGGAGCCAGATCATGGCGATCGTGACGACTGCTACGCGGCGAGTTACCCAGCGTCCATATCTAAGGAAAAAATACTTTGTTAAAAGCAGTTGAAAAGAAAAGACCGAGCTTAGGTTTTCTTGTGTTATAAATTCTAATTTAATATAAGTTATTTATATGCATAGTGTAGTATATTTACAGATTTTTTTAAAAAAAAATTATGGTTGTATTGTATAAAATTCTACCATAATATAATCTTGCTTGCTGATCTCGTAAAGTGTTTAAGTTTTTAGTTATGTTTAAAGTGTAAGTGCTGTTCTCTAATTTTTATATGTTGGATAAATGTGAATGCTGTGCTTTTTAATTAGAGTAGCACGTGTACTTAAGTGTTTTGTTACTTTGGTTTTGTTAATGTTTGTGTTTACTTTGTGAAATGGGAAATTATTAAAATTTAAATAAACTATAATCTGACATAATGTAACAATATTTAGCATAGTTTGAGCTTAGTTCCCGTCTTGAAAGAAAGAAAGAAAGAAACATTTATTTGCAGAGAATACAGGTGAATATACTTGTACAAGGATGTATATTAATAATACACATACATACACCCTGACACGGATGATGGTACTCATCACACTATTATTTGTCCTGGTTGGAAATTGAACCAACGATCTTTGGCTCGGGAGTCAGCATAACTAACTTCAAGATCAACATGAGTCACCATATCACACACCGACTATAAAAATAAACTGTACATAACATTGAATACAAACCAAAGATCACATGACGTAAGAAAATAATAAGATACTATAGTTAAACCGCTGTAAGCTTGGCTCTCCTAATGGTTTGGGGGACGCGGGGCGGGGGTGCATGCAACCAATTAGCTAGTGCGTCGCTGTCCGCCGGCAGTGACTGACGTGAAAGCGTGGCTGTACGTGTTATTTTTCTTAAGACTGCTATACACGGTATTATTTTGTAACATGGATAATCTGCCGACTCTGCGTCACAAAAATATTTAAAAACTTGAAGTTCGGCGTACAGAGGTTCTACTGTTAAAGTTCTAATAAAGAATATTTATTATTTTACTTAATTTTGAAATTGTATCTGAATATAATTTACTTGATACTTTAATTTTGATGAAAATAAGGTGATTATATTAAAATTACTTTACAGTATTAAATTTTACAATTAATCATAAAAACTTACAATACACTGACTTTATAATACATGGAAATAAATTCGATTTTTATTACATCGTGTGTAGATTAAATCTCAAACAAATAAATCTTAAGATATCGAGTTAGTAAATCGTGTCATGTATAGCCGAGCGCATCACCCGCCCCGCGTCCCGCAAACCATCAGGAGGGCCAAGCTCCCAGTTTCCGAAATTGTGGAAGACGGGGAAACTGGTCCTCATCCGAAAGGAGGGGCGCCCGGCGGACTCACCGTCCGCCTACCGGCCCATAGTGTTGCTTGACGAGGTGTGCAAGCTCTTTGAAAGAGTGATTGCAAGGCGCCTCGTCAAGCATCTCGTGATGGTTGGGCCGGATCTGGCGGACAACCAGTACGGTTTCCGTCAGGGGCGCTCCACCGTGGACGCGATCATGCGCGTGAAGGCTCTGGCGGAGGAAGCAGTCTCCCGGGGCGAAGTGGTGTTGGCGGTGTCCTTGGACATCGCCACGCCAGGGGTCGGTGTTAGGGCCACTCTTGTGGAACATCGGCTACGACTGGGTGCTTCGTGGTGCCTTCTTGGATGGTGTCGCCGTCGTGTGCTACGCGGACGACACACTCGTGACGGCGCGCGGCAAGACGCACCACGAGGCAACCCTGAGGGCCACGGCCGGGGTTGCCCAAGTCGTTGAGCATATCCGGCGGCTGGGTCTCGAGGTGGCTCTGCACAAGTCCGAGGCCCTGTTCTTCCACGGGCTTCGGAGGAAGCCGCCTGAGGGATTTAGCCTCACGGTAGGCTCAGGCCATCAGGATCATAAGGGGGTACCGCACGATCTCCTTTGAGGCAGCGAGTCTCCTGGCCGGAACTCCACCGTGGGACCTGGAGGCGAGAGCCCTTGCGGCACTGTATCAGTGGCGCAAGGAGGCGCAGGAGTTGGGTCGATGCCCCGAGATTCGAGAAATCGATGACCGGAAATCCCAACTCCGCCAGGTCATCATAGGAGAGTGGAGGGAACGACTCGGGCAACCGAGCGCTGGGCACGCCGTCATTGCGGCGGTAAGACCCGTTATTGAGGATTGGCTCGAGAGGCGTCACGGGACCCTCTCATACCGATTGACGCAGGTGATCACTGGGAAGGGATGTTTCGGAGATCACCTGTGTCTGATCCGCAAGGAGCCAACGCCTGAGTGCCACCACTGCGATGCCCAGACCGTGGACACGGCTCTCCACACGCTGGCAGAGTGCCCGGCGTGGGTTGAGCAGAGGCGAGACCTCGTGGCGGCCACCGGAGTGGGAGTTCTCTCGCTCGATAGCCTGATTGCGGCTATCGTGCGGAGCGAGAGTGCGTGGAACTCTGCCGTCTCCTTCTGCGAGCAAGTTATGCTCGCGAAGGAGACGGCGGAGCGGGACCGGGAGAGGTTTAGAACTCTCCCGGCCCGCCAGGCCCGGGCACGGGCCAGGCAGCGCAGGCGACTCAGGCGCCGGAGGTCGCAGAACGACCTCCGTCCTCCATAAGCGCAGGCCTAGGGGTGACAGGTCAGGCCATCTGTCACCCTAGCAGAAGCAGGCCGGGGTGGCAGCGAGCGCGTTGCGAAGCGCGCTCGCTTCCAGGGAGCACAGGGAATATGGGGTTCCCACACGGGGCGGGGGTCGTCTACTCGTCTGTAGATGACCCGAGGTATGTCGGGGCACCAGGGCCTTCCTTTCTAGGGTATACCTGGTTCCGCGGCTATTAGTACCCGGCGAAGGCGTGCGGTTTTAGTCGGTTCGTGTCCGACATGCCACCGACAGGTGGTATCCGAGGGGATTTCCGCACGGAAAAAAAAAAAAAAAAAGGAGGGCCAAGCTTACGGCGGTTTAACTATAGCTGACCCGGCAAACTTCGTACCGCCTTAGAATTAATAAATGCTGTGTATAGATTAGGTGACAAATTCAGTGACATACCGTTCCATTTATATCTAGTTAAAATATCTACATACTTCACGATACGACAACAAAATCAATATCTTGTATCTTTAATAAATTTATACTATAGTCGTCGAATAGAAAGAACAACGTTAAGTTAAAATAACATTAATAACTTATGTTGTGTAACTTATTTATGTATTAAATCAGATTTACCCCAGGCGAGTTGATAGTGCATTTTTTTTTCCGTGCGGATATCCCCTCGGATACCACCATATCGGTGGCATGTCGGACTCGAACCGAATAAAACTCGGGCACTAATAGCCGGGGAACCAGGTATACTCTAGAAAGGAGGTGCCTGGCGGACTGCGGCCCATAGTTGATGTTGAGATATTGTACATGTATTAATCGGTGTGAGAATTTTGATTGTGGGATACAGAATTAGTAGTTACTGCGTAGTGCGGTGTGTCTTCGTTAGATGGCACTGAAGTGTGTTTTTGTTTGATTGAATATGGAAATCGCCACATTGAGCATAGCAGAAAAATACGTCGGTGTACAATTTTGAAAACAGTAGTACTGTGATCTTATTTTAGAAAACATGGGCGTAAACTTAATCCAACATAGCTTCTTACAGCCCATTTAAACTCAACTAAAAATATCTTTATTTCTTCCAAAAAATATTTTATCCTTCTCCTTAATCCTCTTAGACTCTAAAGTCATACATCAACACACACAATAACAACAATATGTTTTGTCAAATATTTGGCAAAAGGAAGTTAATCCATTCTATACCTGTGCCCGTGATGTACGATGTGCCAAGATAAAAAAACATTGAATAGAATTGAAAGTGAAGTAAAACATATACGATGAGAAAAATAAATAAAAAACACACTAGCCCACACTACATTCTCACTTAAGAAACAGCCTGTGCTGCATTAATCCCAAGGATTCTTGTCTTCTAAGTAATCTATAATCGAGTAAATAGGCCTTCTGATACATCTTACGCTTGACTGTGGATTTGAATTTGTTTAAACTAAGCCTTGTATTTTACTTGGGATTTTATTAAAAAATCGGCCCCTAAACTCCTTGGAACTCCTACAATGACTTGTTAGCTTGTAAGGAAGTTGACATGTATAAAGTAGTTAGTTTTGGAACACAATAAAAATACCTACTGATATGATTATGATGACATAAATTAATTAAAGGAGCTCCTTCAGTTAACGTAAAGTTTACCTAAGTATTACCTCTAATGGCAAATATTACACAGTTGTCCAAAAATCTAGATATAAATGTTTCATGTTCATTACTCAGATACATAATATATGTATCTGAGACAATATATTAACAGAGTATTAGAGTTGTCCACCAGTTCTGGAAGTACTTTTTACAGTTAGGAAAAAGTAAAATAAGTTTTTAACTAATGTATGGGTGTATCTTCCTGTAATGTAAAGCATACTTATTTAAATTTCAAAGTCTTTCCGTCTTGGTCTCTTAATAAAATCTAGTCATTACAGTAGCTCCGATGTTTTTTTAAAGATTTCACAACCATACTTACTTTTTTGCGGCGTATCTACAAACATTACGACGAACAAATACAAAACATTGTGGTTATTAGTTACGCTCTTTAACGTTTGCCTACGATTCTTAAGACAATATTTGAATTGTATACGCATGTGTAGCCGCCAACATTTGTTTTATAACTGTCATTTAACATGTACATAAATATCAACTTTATGCCGTGAAGGATAAGATATAGAATGGAATACAATAATACGGAATACATTATTTCAGTACCATTACGCACAAGAGTGAACTGACGTACAAGAAATAACAAAAGAAGTTGTCCGTCACTTTTGTTATAAGAAGTCTTTAGTGACGTAAGACAAGTTTTTACCTAATGGTTTATTTTTTTCTTATTGTAAAACAGAAAAGACGAAATCTCAAACACAATCGCTATTCGAACTCTTAATATTTTTATTTTAGATTTGAGAAATTCTTTGCATTATAATTCACACAATATCTGTTCCAATGAATCAATGTTCATAGTCTACACAGGCTTCTCTCATAGCCTGCGAAATTTGAATGATATATCAGTAACCTATCCAGTTTCTAGAAACTTTTTTAAATAAACTATTCTTCATCCTGTAATTTTCCTGCGTTACCTACAGATTATGCCTGCTGGTAAGTTACTATTCAAACTTACGCGGCACTCTACAGGGTTTACAGAATATTAACTTCCTCAACGCTATTTAACGAAATGATCGTCCTGTATCGGCAACACTATCTTTTTTCAAGACTTATCGATATTATTTTGCTATCTTTTTACCTGAATATTGCTAAATAGAGCTTACTAAAATGTTGTTAATTGTCAGTTTCAGTTTTTTATGACAGTATTGTAATCCCTAAAAGCTGGATTATTGAAATAAATATTTTTCTCCTATTTCGCTTAATTATGATTGCCGCACTGTGAAACCCAATGTAACCATACTGCACTATAAGGATTAAAAGCAGCTACATGAGAATTTAGTTACCTCTTTCTTTTTTTTTCTGTGTGGAAATCCCCTCGGATACCACTTAACGAAAGATGGCCTCACCTGTCACCCCCAGGCCTGCGCTTATGGAGGACGGAGGTCGCAGAACGACCTGTAGTTAATGGCCCTTTCCCGCGCCTGTCGGGCCGGGAGAGTTCTAAACCTCTCCCGGTCCCGCTCCACCATCTCCTTCGCAAGCATAACTTACTCGCAGAAGGAGACGGCAGAGTTCCACGCACTCTTGCTCCGCACGATAGCCGCAATAAGGTTATCGAGCGATTGAACTCCTACTCCGATGGCAGCCACGAGGTCTTGCCTCTGCTCTTCCCATCGCAGTGGTGGCACTCAAGCGATGTATTGTAAAAAAACACGAAAGTAGACCTTAAAAAGGTATTATACATAACGTATAATAATATAATAGGTAGTATATATAGAACGACAATTTGTGCATCACATAAAGTGTCGTCCCATGTGGGGATCGAGCCCACAACCTTCAGCGTAGTAGGAAGCGTCATGGCGACCGCTTAAATCATTACGCCATCCATGCAGTCAGAATATTAAATTTATTATTTCCAATAAGAAAATATTAAATGCCGGAAATTATCATATTTGGCAAGACGTCAATTGAACAGATACACCAGATGTATGAAGAGGAAAATACTAAATATTTTTGTCGTCGTGTCATCTGTTATTTGATCAAACTGTGTACAGAAATGAAATATAAAAATATCGTAAAATAAACACTACAGACGGTCATTTGACCCATGTAACGGTAGTAAAATTATATGATCGTCATTTATTGCTGGGAATTTATTGGCCCATTATCTTTAGCCTCAAATCAATTTTACTTTCATGGCTTTGCTGATGCTTGCACAAATCCATAAATCATTTCTTGTAGTGTGGAATGTGTTTCGGAAGCCATTAAAAAGTCAATTATTCACCCTGTTTATAAAAAAAAAGAACGGAGGTAGTGTCGAAAAGTATTAATAAATTTCAGTGCTGAGTGCACTTTCCAAATTTTAGAAATCGTGGAGGCATGATAGCCTCTACTACCGGCTGACACAGTTGCTGACCACCGTTGTTTCGGAAAGTACCTGTCTCGTATAGGCCGGGAGACAATGCGTCGTGAGGATATTAGTGCAGTGCTCAGCGCGGGGAAGTTGGTGTCCACGCTTTGCGGGCAGGCACCTGGAGGTGATATCCGGACATCTTAATGCGCAGAATGGCACACCGTGTGGTTTTAGTCGGTCCGCTTCTGACACACCACTTCGCCATTAACCCCGTTGAGGTGGGTTCCCACACGTTAAAAAATAAAAGTGCTCAGCGTGGATGAAACAACGTAAACAACCTTTCGCTAGAGAGTTTTGGCCATGGTCCAAATTTAAAGTGCGTGCGAGGATTCCACCGCTTCTTTTTTTATGAAGTAATGTCTGCTAAAGAGGCGGTGGGAAGGGAACGAGAGAGGGCCAGTACTCTCTCGTCCCAAAGAAGTGGCAACAGGCGCTGGAGAGGGAACGATCTCTGACGTCCATGAGCGCTGGCCTGGGGATAGTGGTGAGGCTGTCTGTTACCCTATCAGGAGCAGACCTGTGTGTGTTCCTCGCGTACCTCTGTAAACTGGAAGGATGGCAAGGCCCTCTACACTAATGAGTGTAGAGGGTGCCAGGGTTTCGAGGATTTCCTTTAAGTGTGTATACTGAGTTCGTTGCAATAGACTCACATGCGATAGAACATCGTTTTTAGTCGGTTCAATTCCACTTCAGCGTGAGCCCCAGTGAGGTGATGACCCATGAGCGGTTTACACACGAAAATAATAATTTTGGAAGGGTATCAAACCAGACAAAATATGTTATTATTAAAGTAATCAATTCAGTACAACTAAATTAAGTTGATGTCGCTTTTTGTGGTTATGGACACAAGGAATACTTTTTACTCTTAATAGTTAGCAAGCACTACATACTTATTTAGTATAACTATTCTATCATAAAGTAAAGTATTTAAAAAAGGTTGCTTATTTTATACCAAAATTCTCATTTTTCTGTTTTTAAATAAAAAGTAATTTCATAGATGTTTTACAGAAAGTTAAACTCGTTTTTAAACATTCAAATGTAAATTTTTGAACTTACCTTAAAGGATCTTTAATATGTATATATCTGTCGAGCGAAATCGCGCACAGGTTGAGGATGGAGGCTGTAGAACACATGACGTCACACGCCACCCAGGTATCGCAGAACTGTTCTCCGAATACCCAATAACTGTCAGGAAAAAAAAACTTATGAAGTTTATGATGGTTGTTGCAAAGATGGCTGGTGAAAAACTCTCATAGAATAATAAAATTATAGGAACAGTACAGGGATCAGGCTACTCAAATTGATGTTTTTTTTATGGAAGAGGGGGCAAACGAATAGACGAACTAACTAACTTATTAAGAATTAACTTTTAAACTTTCGCATTTGTCATGATCTAGTTTAATTACAATTTCTTTATTCCATAATATTGGTTGCCGATTTTCGGAAATCGTCCATGATCTTTGTTTTTTTAATATAATAAAAAAATGTAATTGATCATACGCAAAGTCAGTTGCTTTTCCAATGTAAAATTAATAAAGCAAAGAAAATATGAAATGGTACAAAATACTGTGTCTGCCTTTATCGATTTATCTATCTACGCATTTCCAAATGCATCTTGTAACACAGAATTCAGCAAAGCAACAACTATAGTTGAGAATAGTATATGTTTATATTAATGTTAACTTATAAAGGCATGTTGCAAACTCTCACATTAACACATATACTGATTCATCCAATATCTGTTGATGATTCTCTCCTAAGAAAAGAGGTTTTGGCGTACCGTACCACGCTGGCCATATGATCCAGTATATATATTATTACAGTAACTTTCACCCTGTATGGTTAACCGCATAATACGGTTCTTAGCTCATAGGTATATATGTATATATACCCTTATATAAATCACTCCATCATAAGATAAACATGAGATAAATTATTATGATCTCTTAAGATTAAGAATATATTATTCGTCGTGGTGATTAGACTAGGTAAACAAACCGTGTTCAGAATGTATAATATTTTACATATAAGTTATTAGGTAAATTCTAGCAAATTTCAAGGTGAGCTAAGTAAGAAATATGCATACTTATTTTATATATAATGTGAAAGTGAGTTTTTTTGTTTGTTTGTTACGCTTTCAGGCCAAAACTTCTAAATCGATTTTTATTTTACCAATGGAAAGCTACTTTTTCAACGAGTAATATAGGCTTTTACCGCGATAACCGACATACACGCGGGCATAGCCGCGGGCTAAAGCTAGTATATTCAAGAATATACCTAGTAGTACCTACACCTGTTTAGTATTATAAATATCAGTACCAATTATATTTATTAATATAATTATGATACTGATATTTATAACACGATTTATTTTAAGCGGCAACGGTATTCCGGTAAAATAAATAAATGTTCCGAAATTAGCTACTATACTAAAATAACAATAATAGTAAAGTTACCGTAATAGTAAAGCCCTGCGTCAAATATGTTAAGTAACACCATACACACACTTGACTGTTTGATCTCAAAGTAGAGAAAACCTGTATTATGGTAACGGATCTGCTAATAAACATACTTATGAATTTTTAACAATAAATATAGATATATAACATAGAATAAATGATCGAACTCATCACATAATTACTTGTGCTAGGGACTCAGTAGTTATTGTTCAGAATAGAAAAATTAAAACCTTACCCAAGTAAATCGTTAACTCCAGCGAATGTCATGACGGCAGCCGCTACAAGCATGTCAGCTATGGCCAACGATGCCAAGAACAGGTTGCCGATCCGGCGCAACCCTCGGTCGGTGTATATAGCAATGCATACCAGTATATTACCCGCTATGCTCAAAAAGATGAGCAGCGAGAGAAATATACCTGAAAAGAGATAATAATTTTAGACAAAGATACTTTAAAATACATACGAAAAATCAGTGGATATATAAATGAGCTACGGCCTAAAACTGTAGTATACTCTTCATAGCATAAAAAGAGTGTACATATTTACGTTACTCATTACGTAACGAGCAGACAGGTCACCTGCTAGTAAGTGACTATCATCATACATGGACACTTGAAGATTTGAATGCTTGCCCCAGATGTAGATGAGGAGAGGGGCGGGGGGAGCTTAGACCGACATCACTCGCTGCATCAACGTACCATTAATACGACTAATTTAGGGTATAATCGTAAAAATATTTATTTAAGTTATGGGACGCCTAAAACACATCTGTTTTCATATGCAGAGCAAGTTGTTTTTATAGATTATAGATATGTATAAGTTGTACAAACAGCAAAATACCTGTGACAGTCAGTTAACTGCAGGAAATTGAACCGCTTAGCAACGAGCGTCGCGAAATAGAGTGGAAATATTTGCCACTCGGAGGAGATAGCGGTGTAATGTTATGTAATTTCCTTGATCTCTAAGTTAAAGAAAACCGGCTAAATTTCATAAACATTTTTAAGATTATGAAAGTAAGTAACCCTGTTGCCGAAGGTGTTGATGAAGCTATAACTATTGTCGATAAGTTATTACCAAGTAACTCTAAATAAATAAATAGAGCAATTGATAAGGTAGGTTTAGCTTCATAATTCATTCATCATCATTATCAACAGCCTTTAATGGTCCACTGCTGGACATGGGCCTCTCCTTAGAAAGGATATTTTGGCCTACTATACCACGCTGGCCAGATAGGTTGGTATAAAGTTTATGTTAAGTTTTGCTTCTCTTTGCAGTGCTGTTTTTCTGCGTAGTTTGCTCCCTTAGTCGGCTCTTACGGCACCCACGGGATGAATAGGAGTGGTGACAAATATAATTCGTTAGATTTTGTATAAATGTGATACAATGTGACTGGTAGCTTAAGCTGACTCGCAACTTAATGTCACCAGTTATTGAATTGTGGATTCCTTCTTAAAATAAATTCAATACACAACCCGCAGTGATGACTACACTCTTATGTCTATCCTGTAAGAATTAAATTCAATAAACAAAAAAAGTTATTTAATTTTGCCTTTTAATTTATTTCTTTTCGAATTATTTAGTTCATACTTTAAGTATTTGGAACAAAAAGCCGTGACATAATATGCTCTGGTACCGGTGCATAGCCGGGGCGGTTTGTGGCAAGTGGCCAATAATAATAATTAACATAAACACATCTTTTGGCTGAGATGATGATGATGGTGATGAGTTGATATTTGGGTTCAAGACAGACGACGTCGCTAGTGTGAGTAAAGAGTATTTTTAGCTTATGATCATGTCTATGTAATTCAGAACCTGCCTATATCAGCTAGTAAATAAGTAATTAATTGACTAGTTTCAATAGGAAATGGGGTATCAAAAGGATGACTCTTAAAATGTGAAAAGAGTTTTTTTCCCAAAGCTGCCCGATTGCCGGTCAAAAAATCTATGGGAATATTCAGGCAAATATTGAATCTATAAATTATCTTTTTAGATTACACATTAACCTTTACGGTATGCATTCTAAAGAGACATTCTTCAAAGGTTTTCATCAGAAGCGATATCTGTCCCATAAGGAAAACACGTATAAGCTACTTTATTATGCTGTTATTTAAATAGTACATTCCTTAATATTAAATGGTACTCTGTGTCGACAACTGTAAAATCCTTTCAAATATTTTCCTAAAACGTGTTCATCAAAAAATCCTTTGTAATTTAAAAGGGTTTTGTTGTTCCACAATATAATTACAGATATCAAACTCGACAGGACTTTGTACTCAAGGTGGCATTCACATTTATTTCTTGCTTTTACACATATTGAAAGGCTTTGAATATTTTTACGTAAAAAATATTCTACACCGTTTATTTTTGTGGTTTATGTCAGAAAGATAACAACGCTTTGAATGAGTGGTAACAGATAAAATAATAAAATTGAAATGTTTTTGAACGAATGTGATAATCGGGTATATACGCCAGTTTACGTAAAATTATTACTCAGGATATCATCTGTCAGCGTATTTTTCCAAAACAGCGATTCAGATAAAATTGATATTAAAAATGACTTTTCTTCAGTAATTGATTGCTATCTCTTTCTTTGTCAGGTTCAAGAGACTTGAGGAAATTACTTTTTTAAGTAAGAAATTTCGAAGAAATACAGATTCTAATACCAAATCAATCGTTGTACAAACACAAATAAAACAATTCTGACAACATATCAGTGCGTTCCCAGTGCGGGTATGAGTTTAAAGTTATTATTAATGTGTTTTGCAATTGCTACCGTTCAGAAACAATTAAACTCATTAGAAGCTTGTGACACAAAATCAAATTCGGTATTTAAATGAAAGTTGAGGTAGGAAGACCTATTTCTTAGCGTTTCATGGATTCACCGCAAGGGTGCCGGGTCCATCGCGTTTTAGATGGGGGCAACAAATGCGACTTGACAGTGCCTTGGACTTGCGACTCAGGTATAGGTATATAATATATATAGGTATATAATATATAATATTCCTTGCGACGCGTTAGCGCTCACCACTCCACTCCACTGTCTGCTGTGTTCCAACTCACCCAACCATATTTGATACGAGCCTAGCAATGCCGCTTTAGATATTCGTTCAAGAAAAGGGCTAACTGAAGCTCTTGGCAATCCAAGGTCTTTAAGCAGGTTATAAAGGGTAGCATACCCCTCGCACCTACTTCCACGGCATATAAAGCAACGACATAACCATTTTTAGTTATTTCGTAGGTTAAGTCAAAGTACTTGTTTCTTTTTAAAGCGTTGTATTTAGGGATGTAAATATACACATTGAAATATTTTGTATAAAGAAATAAAAATACACAATCTACTAATCTATGAAACACAGAAAGTTTTGAAATTGAACTATATATGAAAAAGTTTGTCAAATTAAATTGTTGAGAAATTTAATACATGAGTATTTCTATTTATATTGCTCTGCTTATTTCGTACATACAGAAGAAACAGTACAATGGAAATACTACTCTGTCAAGAAAGTACCGGGAAAAGATCAATAATACACAAAATGTTTGTTATTTATTCAAATTTATTTTCAATTTTTTAGTTCAGTTCTCTTCGTCTTCTACCGATTGAAAACAGGTGCCACGAAGTGGTAATTCGAGTTTAGGAAAAAGAAAAAAGTCGGCTGGAGCCATATCTGGTGAATATGGTGGTTGCTCGATGGTATTTGTTGAGTGTTTGGTGAAAAATTCGTTCACAATGATGGCCTTGTGCGAAGGCGCATTATCGTGGTGCAAAATCCAAAATTTTCTTTACACAAATCTGGCCTTTTTCCGTCGAATTTGCTCTCTTAAATGCCGCATAACGCTCAAATAATATTATCTTTATTTATCGTTTGACCTTCCGGCAAGAATTCCGAGTGCACAACACCGCGATAGTCAAAGAAAACAGTCAACATGACTTTGACTTTTGATCGACTTTGGCGTGGTTTTTTCAGTTTCGGTTCAGTTAGAAGGCGCCACTCCGAATCTTGTTGACGAGTTTGCATGTCAAACACGTAAACCCACGTCGCGTCACCAGTAACAATGCGTTTAATGAATGTTGGGTCAGAATTGACTCGTTCTAGCATGTCCTCAGCGACTCTCAAGCGATTGAGTTTTTGGAGCAAATTCAGGCCTTTTGGGACTAGACGTGCAGTAACATGTTTCATTCCCAAATGATTAGCTTAAAATGGTACGGATCGACTCGTAAGATACAGAAAGTTTGGCGGCTATCTCTCTCAAAGTTGAATGAGTATTTTCAGTCACTATTTCCTTCATTTTTGCGATGTTAACTTTAGTTGCAGACGTTGATAGCCTACCAGAGCGATGCCAATCTTCCATCACATCTCGACCGCTTTTGAACGCTTTGTACTCATAAGCACGTGTTTTTGATAAAGTCGATTCACCGCAAGCCTTCTGTAATATTATCAGTGACTCCGAACACGAAATTTCATTGGCGATGCAAAATTTAAGACAAACTCTTTGTTCGATGTTTTTGTTCATTATGAAATTTGCAATACACACTAGACATCATCATCATCATCATCAACAGCCTTTAATAGTCCACTGCTGGACATAGGCCTCTCCTTAGAAAGGAGGTTTTGGCCTACTATACCACGCTGGCCAGACGGGTTGGTATAGGGTTTGTATCAAGTTTTCCTTCTTTTTGCAGTGCTGGTGTCCTGCGTTGTTTTGCGCCCTTAGTCGCCTCTTACGACACCCACGGGATGAATTGGGGTAGTGACATTCCGTATTCTTAATCCGTCACTACCCCATAACTAAAAACAGCACTGTATTTAATATAAATAATAGATGCAACTCAAACTCCGCGCCAAAATGGAAAACAGTTGTGCCAATCTAACAACAACAAAAAAAACAAAAATTTGAATTTGGAACTATAAACAAATCATCCATTCCCGATACTTTTTTGACTGAATGTACAGTGTATTTAAAATGAGAAGTATCTAAGTGTTTTTATTCGCGTTCTACAATCCACAGTACATTATTTTTAAGATTGAATTTATTTAGCGGTATACTAACATATTATTACCAGAAATTTCTTAAAACAAGAAAAGTTATTTTACTAACTAAACTGACTTTTTAAAAGCATCATTGACTTGCACAAAAAGTACTCGTAGTCACAATGAAGAAATTAGTTTAATTCAAAAATAAGATCAAAATAGCACCAGTTTTAACAAGAAAAATCTGAAATATTGTCAGTTTTTACCACAATGCACTCTGCAATACTCTTTATGTACGGAAGCGCCGTCGAGATGGTTCGGTCCCCAATGAATTTCTGGAACTTTAATTTCGTTCGTACACTTTAAGTGTATCTACTTACAAGATTGCAAACATTGTGGACAATGTTTGCAGTTGCATTGCATCTCAAGTATAAATCAAAATAATATAGTGTTATTACTGAATGTTCTTTTTTTTATTGAAGAGGGGGCAGTAAAGGAGACGTGTCACCTGATACAAAGTATTACCGCCGTCAATGAACGCCTGCAACTCAGAAGTCACAAGCGCGTTGCCGTCCTTTAAGCAAGGAGTGCGCTCTTTTCTCAAAGTGTGAAGGTATTATCACGGTACTATTATAATACAGTACTGCAACTTCATACAAACGGACGAAACGGGAGCTATACCTACGCGCCTCGATCTCGGGGTGCGCTCGGGGCGCAGACAGTCGCTTCTGTACCGCAGTGTCGAACGGACTGCGTGTTGTTTTTTTAACAATAACCGCGCGATTTTTTCTCTAAAAATCAGTTAATATGACGAGTAGGAAATATTGTGCTGTTTTTGGTTGTATGAATTCGTCAATAACGCATCCAGACATAAGTTTTTTTAAATTACCTGGAAACTCTGAAAAGTAAGACTATAAAATAATTTTACTTACTAGTACGTAGGTACATAATGTGTGTCTTTTTAATGGATAAGTATTTCCTTTTATCTCACGAAAAAAAAGGTGTTTGGATGAATAAATAAAGCAAATAGAGTAACGGAAAGTTATTGAGACGAGTGAAATAGGGAGTTACATGCGGTTCTGAATGAATCATGATACGGTAGGTACCTACCTACTTACGCTTATGTTAAAACTTCGGTGCATGTTTGTTTTGTTACTTTGCATAATTCAAAAAAAAGAAAATTCTACTTAAAGACGTGGTATTTTATTATTAATAATATATCTTTATTATCTGTGTGTATGAATAATACTAAAAAAAATTTGTTACCGTCTGTGTGTCATTAGACAGTTTTCGAAATTTTCACAAAGTGTTTCTGCTGCTACTATAACAACATATACCACTAAAAACTGGTTTTATTTTCTCGGTATTAAAAACAACAGCTAGACTCATATATAATATTTAGATGTTTGAGGGTTGTGATTTTAAAACATTCGTAGTCAGCTGTTCAGCTTTTTAATAATTAATTAATTGGTGACCAAAGAATTTTTGTTTTGAGTTGTTGCGAGTTGTAGGTTATAGGTTAGGTAATTTATAGAGACGTTAATTAGCTGAGATAAAAAGTTACTTACTCGTCAGCTGTTTCTTGCATTCTAGTTGAGTAGGTGGTAGGTGTTGGAGTTTCTAAGGATTGGAGTTTTGTAACGCGTATGGAGAAAGCACATTTATTTTATTTTATAGAAGGATTTTTTTCGGTCGCTAATTTATAAGCCCGATTGGTTTTTCAAACAAAAAAATGTTTTTTAATTAAATCTACCAATCAAAAAACAACACGCATTTTTATTGAACAATTCCTATTCAATATACAAAGTATTTCATTTATTTATATAAAAAGGATATTTACAATCACAAATCTAAATAGAAACAGAAAGTAGGTAAATATCACTAAAATTCTGGAGACGGGCAGCCCTAACGCATGTTTACGTACCGCGCGGCTGTAGGCATTTATTTCTATCATGCGGCCGAGTTACAATACTGTATTATAATAGTACCGTGGTATTATCGAACCGGAAACAGTGCTGATGCGGAGAAAGCACAGTGGTGGAGTGCCAATTATCCAAGTGATGATTCATTTACGTTTGTCATAAAAAAATACTTATACCTAAATTAAAGAAAGGCCAATTGGATGTTGTATAGGAGTCACAAAGGGGTAACAAAGGTAGTATATAAAAAGAGTGTTGAGCAAATGTTTTGTTGCATATCACCGAGCAAGTGAGGTAACCAGGGGCTCAGCCCTCTTTCCCTTTCAATTCTGATGGGGACACTCAAATTCCGGCATTGCCACTGTGTGGCTCATGAGTTGCAGTTATTCAGGGGCAGCTGCAGTCACTTATTAACCTACCGATCTTTCTGTTTGTTTTCCCTCTACCCCATTTAAAAAAATATGTTTCGAGAATAACACTCGTAGCAAAGAACACAGAGCACCTTTCATTGGGAAAAATCTGTTGCTGGGCGACGAGAAAATTACTATGACGCTAGCAGGATTAAAGCTGATTTTGTATAAACTCATGTAATATCTAACATTTATATGATCGTATTTAAGTAATCTAAGAAGGAACCGCTCCACCTCCGCACGGTTAATCCGCAGAGAATTAACGTACGTAAGTCATGTAAATTTATTTTTGGACGATTTAATTGCAGAATATTATTTTATTTTCTAGTTAAATAATAACTTAACTTTAATATAGTTTGTTGAACTAACTGTGAAAGTACTTATTTGGTGATAATTTACAGAACACTTAGTTCTTCATTTTAAAGCATAGTTTTTGAACAAAATTACCTTCCGATAAAACTGCAGTGAACTCAACATTCTCATTATGACGTGTGTAGTCCGAATATAACTTACCAACAAGCAGTATAGAGAGTAGCGTGACAGCATCCGGGTCATCTCCATCCTCATATTCCACTGGCGTGTCGTTCAACAGCGCCACCTGCCGGCCAATACATGAATTATTAATAACGTGGCACTGGCAGCTACGATTTAATTAAAGAATGTTTACGGAGGCTCTTACATATCAGAAATAGTATGTACTTATTTAGAGAAGCAATTAGATATTACGAAGATAGTAAGTTGAAAAACCACCTACACAGAACTAAATGAGATATATATGTATGTATAAAAACAGTGTAATATTGCACTGATAATGTGATATTTTTAAATCTTATTTAGGTGATAATAATTACTTCACATATACACGGTGATTTTGAAAGCGTTTTGGAAAAGAAAATTTTGAATTATTTATCAGTAACAGAAGCTATATATAACGTTAATTTAATAAAATATGTATTTTTTTTATCATCAAAGTCGATATTCATATCGTTTACAGAGAAAAAGTCAGAACCAGTAGTAGTAGGCTATTCAATCACACGTAGGTAAATACTACGAATAGAAATACTATGCGTTTTAATATCGAGTCACATCAAATCGTATTCGCCAATAAAAACAAAGCTACCGAGTTGCGCCGGAGTCGTCCAACCAATGACGTCTGCCCCGTAGGCGCATGCGCGGGGCTCACCTGTCATCGTCAGTCGGTCAGTAATACCATAACATCGTGACGGCACGCTGCATTGATTAGCGCTAAAATGAGTCGACAGTACGAATTTTCAAACGTGGAATACTTCTTGGCAATGGTACAGCTGTACGCTACTGCCAACTACAACTTGGAAGAGGCTCGGCGTTTGTATTCCCAGCCGGAGCATTTAAATGCACTACGGCTACGTGGAATTGAAAGCCCTCAAATTCCCTCCACACCTAAGATGGTAGGTGTGGAGGGAATTTGTGTGGTGGCTGCAACCCAACGTCTTCTCGACCACGGACAATTTCGTGCGCCTACTCATGCGAGAGTTCAAGGACGTTTTAATTATTATTCGCCGGAGTGTAGTGCGTGCATACCTGGACAATGAGCTTAGTGATCGGTGGATAGGTCGAGGAAGGCCTAGAAGCCCGGACTTAACGCCCCTGGATTTTTTCTTGTGGTCGGAAATAAAAAGACTTGTTAATACACGGGAATATGAAAGCCGTGATAATTTACGCATTGCGATAGTGGACGCTTTTGATAAAGTGAAAAGTGATAGAGACACATTAAGAAAATTAAAAAACAATTGCATTAAACGTGGACGTTTGTGTATTGAATGCAGCGGACTCCATTTTGAGCAGTTCCTTCGATACAGAGAACTGTAAATAGTGTAAATAGGTATGTAAGTTAATTATTCTGTAGATAGCTCCGATTTTTTAAATACGCCTGAAATATTTATACCTACAGTCCGTTGATAAATTGATTTGTTGTGAAAAGAACAATCGTGGTTAATAATCGAAAAGAAGTTTAAATAAAATAGGTATTTCTGACGGTCCTAAGCCCGTGTAAAGTATGAAGGACAAATTGGAGTCTATCTACGTAAGTACTCGCTAGCTCGCGCCTATAGGTATACTTTTGTCAGCTGCTGTGTTAGCGTCGGCGGTGCGCAGCGGCCGCCGAAACGCCCACGGACGTGTTTCATTCATATAAGATAATGAATGAACGATCAGTCCATTACTACTTTCCAAGTCGATCGAGTAAAAATGAATATTAAAACTGAAACTTTTTTTTAGACAACATTACAATTGATTTAATCATTTTTATTGGTACTATAGATGATTCCAAATTCAAATATTTCGTTTCCAAAACGCTTTCAAAATCACCGTGTATATACTGCACACGGCAGTGTGATCCCAAATTAGGCAGAGCCTGTGCTGGTAACCAGACTCCTTATAAACATTCATACTTCTATACTATTTGTGTAAGAAGGTAAAGTTTGTGAGTTGGTATGTTGGGGAAATCTCCGGTACTGATACACCAATTTTGAAAATTCTTTTACTGTTTGATAGGTATATTATCCCTAAGTGCTAAAGACTACTTTTTACAGCGATAACCGACATATACGGGGGTGGAGCCGCAGGCAAATCTAGTAGACAATAAAACGCAAAATATCATGCAGGTTTATTATTCCCTTTATGGTTTCTCAGAAATGACGATCTGACGCTGTGTTTATTGCCTATTTCCATTCTGGTGAGCAACAGATAGCAAATAGTGTACTTTATTTCTTTATTTAATTTAGTATCAATGAGTATTTCACAAAAATATAGGTAAATAAATATTTGCAACATTTAATTTCATGAACAGTCTTTTTTTGTACTTATAAAATTTTGCTTATTCTTAGATTTCTTTTTGTGCTTTTGTAGAAAAGTACCTTTTAATATGTAGTTTGTACTTACAAAGTTTACCTCTTTATAATATTAGTATAGATTGTATAAACAGAGCCTTAAAAGTTAAATATCAAACGACAAGAGTTGTCTCACGTTCTAAACATTTTCTTTCAAAGAACCAGGCAAGACCAAAGCCGACGGTTGAAACCTTCTGAAAGTCCATATTTCATTATATTTGTAATTTATTCGATATTCGTTTTCATTTGTTTACAACAACGATATATTTTGTTTTAAGACGATCACGAACAATTATTAACAATGTAGTAGTTAGTAGTGGTGATTTAAATTGTTTTCCGATACTATAGGCCAAACAACATAGGGGATATCATATCTACCAGGGCTTTTCTTTCTAGGAGACGGCGTGCGGTGTTTGGTCGGTTCGAGTCCGACATAATCACCCACTAGTAGGTGGTATCCGAGGGGAGTTCCGCACAGAAAAAATAACCGGTCAGGTACGAGTCGAACTCGGGCGCCAAGAGTTCCGTACCTACCCAGATTTTACGTAGATTTTAGCGAAAATTTGTAAGTACCAAAATTTATCTTAATTTTAAACTTTTTTTTATTGGAAATCTCCTTTATTTGTGCTGTAAGACGTTTCTTTTTGCCAAATTTCGTGATTCTAGGTCAACGGGAACTACCGTATAGATTTTCGACCCAAAACCTATAGGGTACTTCCGGTGGACCTAGAATGACAATTTTTGTCAAGATTACAGCACAAGTAAAGAGAAAATTCTGAAAAATAAAAAAAGTTGAAATTTAAGGTAAATTTTGATACTTACAAGTTTTCGTGAAAATCGAAATTTGCCCATATCTTTTTATGGTGTTGACTCAGGACCTTGATTTTTATACACCTAATAGGGATCATAGACCTCAGTATCTGGTAAAAGTTTCAACTTGGTCTACCCGTTCCTGAGAAAATCGGAGAAAAAACAGGCGGACAAGAAAGTTTTGTAAATCTCTTCACAAACGAGACTGTGCTTTTTCTGTTTTGTAGTAAGAATGAAACATTGGAATACAAAAAAAAAATTTTGCTTTTTTCTGATTTCTTAAGAATCTGATTCATTTATATAATACTAGCTGGTACCCGCGACTTCGTCTGCGCAGGATTAGTAAGTACTTCGAGTAGCTTATTATCTTCTCAATATCTACCTTTATACTAAAATTCATCAAAATTGGTTCTGCGGATTACTTGTGAGGGAGTAACAGATAGACAGAATTACTTGAAGAGTCCCTTGTTCTATATTGAGTAATGAATGTACGTACATTAAAACTAAGTATTCTCGATAATGATCTCACAATAAAAGGTATCATAAACGCCATATCTTGTGCGGATAGATTTACGGATGTATGTTATAAAATTTGAGTTAACACTAAAGTTATAGGTAGCTACTCCAATATACTCCTATAAACTTAAAAACCATTTTTTTCGTTCAGCATAAACATGCAGATTTTACGATTTAGAAACGCGTGAGAAAGCTACGTAGAGCTGGCCATGGGAAAAAATGGTGTGCCCAAATGTGTGCCTGCTACCTTTAAGGTTTGACCCTGCGATTTGTTGATAGTAATTGAATATGCAACTTTTAATGGGAACTGCAGGCGTTTAAAATTAAATGGTAAGTTATTGGGTATGATCGAGATGCGTGGTATAAGAACATTGTCTCCCTTGGCTTCTCCAGTTAAGATTGTGGCCTTCACAATATGCCTATCTAGTTCGGTGACTCGCAATCGAGTACCGTTGCATAATCTTGGCGTGTCCAAGTTACGCATTAACAAAACAGGTACAACGACCTTTATTTCTAACTTATGTGATGGCACCCCAGATTTCTCCAAAAAGTCTGCCGACGCCGTGCTTGGGACTGTTCTGGTTTCTCAGCAGCTCTGTGAGCTGCCTCACGGCTTGTCGAAACGTCTCGTTAAGTCAAGCTACTTTCACAGCTCGAGCTTTATTAGAGCTTTGAGAAAGATTAGACTTACGCTTTCGCGGCATAATGCTTAGTAGGTACTTTTTCTACACTTTCAAATAATTCAGTATGCAATATATAGAAAAAATGCAATACCTACCTGTTCAATTTACATATTATTTATTCAATTTAAAATTATAGCCACATACTAATTAATATCCAAAAAACTTTTCTTATTTGCTAATTGAAAATCAAAATCACTCAATCATCGATTTTGATTTTCAAAATAAGTTAATAATTATAATGGAATTATAATTATATTAGTAAATAATTCCATTATATTTATTAACTTATTTTATATTACCGATGTAACTACTTTATGACAATTATAAAATAAAAACGAAGTAATTCGTTACTAATTGGCTATTAAACTTAACTATTATTGTAAGCACCAAAAAAAAAAATACAAACCTAAGTAATTAAAATAAAAACCCTAACTCGTTAGAAGTAATAGTAAAGTAATTAAATCTTATACGTGTAAATCCTAAGCACACAAAATATTTATATTTAATAAAAGTATTTATTTTGATATACAATTCAATTTGTTACTACCAAATGTGCGTTAGAAATATATTACCAATTTTAATTGTATTTATGGTTCACTGTTTTGGCGATAATGGCTTATTCATAAAAGATAGATATATGCTGTCGCGGACTTTTTTGTAGGGTTAATTAAGATAAACATTTCTCTCATACATTATAAGCGTATAAACTCTACAGCTTTGGAGCGTACGCCAGAATAGCTCGCAGATGGCAGATTTTTTGCCGACTTACTTGACAATTATCGTTATATTTTTGACAATTCACACACTATCTTTGAAAATTATAGCCCATGTGTTATTCTAATGTATAAGCTATACTTTTGTAAACTTTTATTAAAATCCGTTCGGTAGTTTTGTGCGTGAAAGAGGAACAAACATCCATACATCTATACATCCATACATACAAACTTTCAGGTTTATATAATATGCAGTTACGCATATAGTAGATAAGGTATCGTAAAGAAACAAAAATATCAATGATGTATACAATTAAAAAAAAAAGTTGAATTTTCAAAAACTGCTTGACCGATTTCAATGAAATTTAAATGGGACCACCGACGAAGTATACCCTTTAAAACAAAAAAGAATTTTCCAAATCGGTTCAGGCGTCTTCGAGTAATCGGCGAAAACATACATAAAAAAAAGATCCCTACGAATTGAGAACCTCGTGAAGAGAAAATGCTGCTCGTGCTGTCTTATCATAAATTAACATTTCTTATTTATAGCAAAAATATCACTGAAAAACGGCCTGTTACGAATTCGTTGTTTTCATGATTTGTAGAGTACCGCAGTAAAACTCCGTTTGGTACACCGTAACTCCAACTAGTGATCAAGGTCCTTGACCTTGAAATGACAATAAATGTAATCGGTTCAGATAATGAACGTAGCTAAGTAGATATAAACATTAAATGAGCCTTCAAATTTTAGTGAAACTCGGGTATGGCTAAATAATTATCTATCATGGATCAAAACATATTAAAATATTCGTCAATCAAAACTTGGTGGCGTAATACTTACCGCTAACATACCAAAACTTATCTTCGAAGATTTCAGTCAAACTTTAACATAGTTAAGTTACCGGAGTTAAGTTAAATAGTTAAGGTAATATATTACACTTTTCGACTAAATTATTTGATGCAAGATATTGGTATAGGAAACTAAAACATTATTACTGTCATAGGTTCTTTAAATTGATTTGTAAAGAAATTGTGTAGTGTAATAATGTAATAGTAGGACAATACTAATTCCACCAACATTCGAATTGTTGTGATTCCTGTGCACTCGGATCAATATCAATTTTTAAGAAAAATAATAATAATGACAGTTCCAACTTAGTAAATTTATAGGATCATGCAACGAGCAAGAACTTTCATAAAAAATTGTACATTTCAAACAAAATTCAAAAACATATAATAATAAATCTTTTAGATAATCGCTTTCTATGATATAATATCTTTGTATATATGGAAATTAACGCAAACGCATTATAAATAAGTAAATATCTTTCAATGGGCCGAGGTTTCGTTCTTACAGGCTGACTATAGGCTGGTCGAAAAAATGCACAATTCAAAGATATGTAAAATCCATGTATACTTTTTAAGGAAATGGGTTATACTTGGTACACAACCTTTTTTCTAAAGTTAATTGAAAAACATATATTATATTCAGATAAAACAATAGAAACACATATGTACTAGTTCTAAAATATCCAATGAGATTCAAACGGTTTAAGCCGAGGTTTTGTTTTCTATTTAGTCCAAGGCGGAGGTTTGTTCGTGGAGACTTTGTGGGATCGAACGAAGTAATTGGTCAGCTGGGATTACCAGTGCATATGACTATCTGAGTACGATGCCGCTTGTACTCAAGTTGAACCAGGTACATTGAATAAAAATACGAACTACGTCTTTAGTATCGAACCGACAAACTAATTTCTTTTAATCATCCAAGCATAATTGTGTTTTGGTATTATCCACAATTTTAATAGTCTGATCTGATCGTTTTTGCTGCTAGTTAAATAGTAAAAAAAATAAGTTAACAATGATATTTTTGTAATTGATGTTTAAATTTATTATGTAGTGTTTTAATTAATTTTAATTAATTAATTTGACGGGCCTGTTGGTCTAGTGGTTAGTGGCCCTGACTGCTAAGCGGCAAGTCGTGGGTTCGATTTCCACCCAGGATAAATATTGTGAGATGAGCACGGTCGTTTGTTGTGTCTGGGTGTAATTTATCTATAATATGTATGTATTTAGAAATATATAAGTATGTTTATCAGCGGTCTGGTTACCATAGTACAGGCTCTGCCTAGTTTGGGATCAGACGTCCGTGTGTGAGATGTGTGAAGTTATTATTATTATTAATTATTTTTGTTTTCAGCAATACATTTTTAAATGGATCCAACCTTCACAGAGAAGTCTTAAGAGTTAACACCCGACAATGGAACCCTCAGGCAAAAGGCAAGCGTGGTCATCCAAGGCAAAGGCAAAGAAGGAGACCCGTATGGGGTTTTAGTATACTGTTAGTTTCAACAGTATAACATTAATTTTACAAACAATAATCCACTACTTATTTTATCGTAATTTGGAAGTCGGTAATATATAAATTATCGTTTACGTTTCTCTTAATACACATTCACAAAAAGACATCTGAAATCTACTTTGACTTAGCCAGAGATTTTAACAGCGTTCAAGTAGCATGAAGAACAAAGATTTTATGTTACTGCTGTGTTTAGGGTGGTCCTTTTTTGAAAGGGATGTGTGGTAACGGAAGATCGACAGTTCTGCGAGCCTAGTGCCTGCCAACTGTGTGCAATAAAAAAGCCAAGTTATTTATTATTCAAAACAGAATTATAAAACTTTCAAAATTTAGGTATGTCTGCGAATAAAATTTTGAGAAATTTAACCTACTTCTCTGTTTAATAAAACATGCACAACATTATTATTGTTGTTCAGTAGTGATCCAAAAGGAAAAAAATAATCAAAAAATTCTTCTTTAACCATTAAATTCTCTAATCCATTGAAACACACGAAACGCGTAGTTGTCTCGGTACTAATACCGATGTTTTGCTCGGAGCTATACCCATTCTCATGAAATTCAAACAAGGAGAATTATAATGAGAGGATTACAAGGTTTAAAATTAGAAATACGAGTTCAAAATTCAAAAGCATATCTTGCTAAACAACCCAGACTTTGGAAATTAAATTTGTCAAGGTGGTAGGTATTCACAAGTTACATAAGCTACATTTTTTAAATATTAAGAACGAAAAGATTTAATATTCTGGTACTTACATAAGTAGGTGAAACAGAGGGTAACTCCATTTTATAAACGTAAACTTGTGCGGTGGTGAAGCATCCTCAGGTCTTAGTATCGACCTTTAGAAGGAAGCTATCGGTCTGGCCATGTACACCGTTCGGCACGTGTGAAGTTGCCATGTTGTACTTTCACATATCTGAAACAAGTAAACATAATTGAATATGAAACAAGTAAACATTATGTCAATCAAAAAAAAAAGTATCTATATTGATACAACATATGTGATTATAGTAGTCAGTTTTTATATCTCCTTAAATACCTTAGATTAAAATAATTTTAAAATTTATAATGCAAAGTAATATTTCAATATAAATATATTATCTGGTAGTAGATAATACAATATCTGGTAGTAGCTATCTATTTGTGATGAGTCTAATATACCAGCCGGATATTTAGCTATAGAATACCTTGCCAAAAATTGTCCATTGCCACTTGTTGCAGCTCCAAAGTATTTTGAAGATGTAACTGAGCAAAATCAACTTATTTACTTAGCATGAGGGCTTTGTTGCAAGCTGTGTAGCCATTTAAACTCCTTAAGTAAGTATAAGTCTGTGTAAGTCTAAGTCTAACCTACTATGGGATAGTTACTCTTATATCTTGCATTAATCGTTGAAGCTATAAGAGCTCCATACACGATGTTTAATTTAATGAAATGTCTTTCGTCGCGCCTTCCAATGAACTTCTTGATAAACTTTTAAAAAGTAGTAATGGCTATACACCCAGAGAAAGAGAGATGTAAAAATAAACAAATGAATTTAGAAAATACAAAAAACTGTAATTACTGTCACGATAAAAAAATAAAATTGCAAACGCAAACCGGTATCCTCCCGTACGTTTATGCCAGTAAAAGCTAACCGAATTAAAAAGTTTCGGAACAGTATAAGGCTCCACCAATGTTAGGTCGCCCGATCGATTTAACCAAAAAAAAGCGTTTGTATAGAACGTTGTTTTACTGTATCGCTCACGACGTACCGTGGGGATCCTCTTTCCCTAGTAGAAGTGTAACCGTGTACGTGACTCCCTGTTAATGGATCAATTAAGCGATACGCAACAGTTAGTAGTAATGATCACCTTGTGTGAAACTGAGTAGGAGTACTTACTCCTGTAAACACGTGTTTAAATTGTGGTAGAAAATACACGATACATGTTTGTAATATTTTATTGCATATTACAGGACTGCACGGATGGTTGTTCTTTAAGGTTGTCCGGTCAATGGCACTGTACGGTGCACCGGTATGGGCGGTGGCTCTGACCGCCCAGAACAGGACATGCTTCTGGCGCCCTCAAAAGATATTTTCGACCCACTGTTTCGCACCGTTTCGACGGAGGCTGCGTGCGCATTGACTGGTACTCCCCATGAGATTAGGAGGCGGAAGTGCTTGCCGAAGTATATCGGCGGCGGACTGAGTTCCGGGCGGTTAGCGGCAGTCGGCCCCCGCCCGAAAATGTACGTAATTGGCGTGAGGCCGCTCGCCGAGCCACAATGGCTCGTTGGTCATCCCGGCTGGGGGCTCCACTTGCTGGTTTTGCTGCCGTGGTGGCGCTCCAGCCGGTCATCGTCGAATGGGCAGGGCTGCAGCACGCTGCTTCGGGTAGTACCTGCACTCAGTCGCTAGGAGGGAATTGAGTCCCGCCTGTCACCACTGCGATTGCAGTGAGGACTCGGCTCAGCACACGCTGGCAATTTTCCCGGCTTGGTATTTAGATATTTGTTTTACCGCGGTCGCATCCTTCTGCGGAGACGTCATCTTGCACAAGGAGGCGGCGGAGAGGGCAGGGAGGATGATCTCCAAGTGGACCCAATTCTAAATAATGACGTTTAGGTGACGTCCGCGTGTGCCGACGTTGCCTAAATAGAGAATGTACCCGAAATTGGTGCCCGTGCCGTTGCGGGCAGGCGCTAGGAGGGGTCCGGATGTCTTAATAACGGCAGTACCCGGATCCCTCCTACTATTACAGGCATAGAGTGGCACACCTTGTGGTTTTAGTCGGTCTAACTCCAACACACCCTGTTGCGAACTCCGGTGGGGTGACGGCCCGAGGGCGTATTCACATGTTAAAAAAAAAGAAAAAAAAAGTGGTTTAAGCCGACCTCGCCACTTCCTACTGCGTTGGGTGTTGTGGGTTCGATTCGACACTTTGTCTGATCAACAAATTGTATATTCCTAGTGCGTGAGTTGTCTTTATAATGAATAGGAAAAAAGCAATTTATAATTTAAATAGTTAATGGTTTATGAAAATAGCATAGTATATAATTTTTTTAAATTCAAGTATATGTAAATATATAAGGTTTCAAACATTTGGATAAATTGCTTTTGTTTTTGCACTTTGTTTCATCACGATATTAATTATTAAATACAAAATAGAGACGGACCTGTAGAGGCACACATTTTATACATTCTGATAACTTTAAACAGTTTATACGTTAAGATTATATTACATTAAATGAATTAAAGATAAGTGATATAATAAAATTGAAATATACTGATTTTGATTGGATACTGTATTTTATAAGTTATAATTTGAATAAAAACTATTTTGTATATACACCTTTTTACTGTTAAATATTGAGCTAGAAATTTGATGATGCCCTGTATGGCTTCAGCTGTCAGCAGAGATCCGGGAACAGTTCCCGGATCTCTGCTATGTAAGGCGCAGAGTGGCATACCGTGTGGTTTTAATCGGTTCGATCCTAACACATCCGTAGTGAAAGTGATTTTCAAATCAAATCAAATACTTTATTTGTTTAACACAGGTAAAAAAAGGAGTTAAACAATAATAATAAATGAAAAAGCCCTGAGTTATAACCTATATTAGGTGCGCAATTTTATTAGAAATAAAATGTTCTGCATGCATCTTAGAATTTTAAAATTATTTTAAGTACTATGTAACTAATTAACAATTATAAACAATAATTAATAACAGTGGTTGTATAAGAATGTCAAACAATGTCGGAAAATATATTTCGAGTCGTAAAACTAAATTTTATAACATATTTATAATGTATAATAAATAAAATATTAAAGGCTCTTATAATAAAAGTTGGAACATGAATTTTGACTCTTATCGAGATAACATTTCAAAGTAACTTAAACATACGACGTCACATGTTCCTAGAATTATTGAACAGGTAAGTCAGTTAAATGGAAGTTTCAGTTATACCTCGATAGCAAAGCGATTGTGCTCAACGTACAATTTTCTTAGCATTTGTTATGGTAGAATACTTTACATTACTATTAGAAATAAACTGGAATTTTAAACGCAGTTTACATAAACGTCCCTTTAAATTTTGCTGTTGCTAGCGACTCTGAAATGAATAAAAATAGAACTGTACACATTCAGACTTCTCCTGTTATAAAAAAAAGGAGTTTGAATAACGTTTATTTAGGCTTGAGCAAATTTTCTTCCGAAGTGATATGAAAAATCACATATATTTTTAAATCGTATACATTTTAAATTATGTTTTCTGTTTAATGCGACAACCTTTTTTAGTGTTTTTTTTGTATTAAATATTTATACCTATCCATTCTCTTTAATCACTCCCTAATGTGTCGAACTTACGAACCTTATTTATATTACTGCTACTGGTTACATGTCTTCTCAACGTATTTCGCATTTCGAGACCTAACGTGTGGGCAATTGTTACACAAACTGAGGGTACGATAACAAATCTTATTAAGACATCTAACATGTTGTCATAAAAGAACACAGGATACCTTTTATCCAGAAAGAATACTGTTCCATAGGGACATCAAAATTCTTGTACGAAATCTATATTTAAACAAGCAAAGCTGCTTGCAATAAAGCTAAAGTAACATTTTCGAGGAGAGGAGGTGAACGAGCAGACCAGTTACCTGATAAAAAGTGACTAACGCATATGGACTGAAGAAAACGAATACCTGGAAATATTAGACCCTTTGATAATACGTGCTTCTAAAGGTCTGGTCTCTTAATAAATCGGAAAAAGAAACTTATACACCTGTCTGTTTTGTTGGTAATGAGACGAAAACGTCTATATTTATTATTCTTATGCCATAGGCCCTATATCCTTAAATCTTGAATGAAGACTTAAAATATCATCTTTAGTTCTATTTTTAATTATTGTAGGTAACCTTTTAATTTTCCAAGAAATATATTTATCTCTGAACATGCGATTTACACTAAAATAAATATACAGATATTAAGTGACAGCGGTACTTTGAGTAGCAATTCTAAAGATTCGCCGACCTCGCTTATCATTTACCCTCCTGAGTGCACCTGACTGAGTGTTTTGGTAAACAAAATTCTACACGACCTAAGTCCATATATCTATAACAGAACGATCCTTTAATGCTCTCCCGCAATATGTATACAAAGCTACGTTTACCATAATTCTATAAAAGAGAACGATAGTTAGTACTCGATTTTTTTGTATACAATTTATATCTTAGGCCTACTGAAACAATTTTTTTAGACTATATAGAATGCTTTCACCTTAAGAAGAATCCTCCTTTATTTCGATGGATATAGTCATCACACATCATCACATCAACAGCCTTTTATTGTCCACTGCTGAACAAAGGCCTCTTCATAGAAAGGAGATTTTGGCCTACTACGCTGGTGGCCAGACGGGTTGGTATAAGGTGTGTTTCAAGTTTTCCTTCTATTTTCAGTACTGTTGTTCTGCATAGTTTGCTCCCTTAGTCGGCTCTTACGATACCCATATGTATAGGGGTGGTGGCATCCGGTATACTTAATCTGTTACCACACGGATGGTTGTACACATGGATGTAGTCTATTTGGCACTATAACGTCAAATTACCGCACCCGCAATATGAAAGTGTTCTAACTCTAAATTCAGTTTGTGATTGTGTTAGCAAGGATTGGAGGCATTGGTATATAAAGTTATCAAAGAAATTGACTGATGCAACCCTGTTTTTATGTCTTTTTCTCAACAGAGTTTTAAAGCAGGCTTTTTAAAGTCCGTTTAAAATAAAATAAAATAAACAGTTTTTTTGGATTTATT